CTCACTTGGTAGCCCAGGCTGGCCTCGAACTCACAGAGATCCGCCTGGCTCTGCCTCCCGAGTGCTGGGATTAAAGGCGTGTGCTGCCGCTGCCGCCGCCGCCGCCGCCGCCGCCACCGCCGCCGCCACCACCCGGCATTAGTTAGGGTTTCTATTGCTGTGTACAGACACCATGATCATGGCAGCTCTTATAAAGGGGAACATTTATTTGGGGCTGGCTTGTAGTTTAGAGGTTCAGTCCATTATCTTTTTGGTGGACATGGCAGCGTGCAGGCAGAGATTATGCTGGAGAAGGAGCTGAGAATGTAAGAGAAGCTACATTTTGATAGGAAGTCACCTGAGACAACTGGGCATATCCTGATCAGAGGAGACCTCAAAGCCCGCCCCCACAGTGACACACTTCCTCCAACAAAGCCACACCTCCTAATAGTGCCGCTCCTTATAAGCTTAACGGGGCCAATTACATTCAGACTACCACAGTTACCTTGGAATGTTTACCTAGTCCTAAGGAAGAAGTTACCGACATAGGGTGGGCTCCTGCTGTGCAGTGCACCAGGTCAGAGGTCATCATTGCTGAATTGTATCCAAACCAGTTTTCAGAAAGCCTTTGCTGCACAAGTACAGTGGAGTTCCACCCTAAGATGTCCATGTATAGATGTCCATGTGTGAAACTGACATCGTTAGTATAAAATTGAGACTCAGAAGTCAAGGAGCAATTCGAGGAATCCACAGGATAAATAATTACAAGTTGACTTCCTCCACAGAACTCTAGTTCAATTCTGAAATACATCCACAATCTTAGTAATATTAAAGCTTTAAAAATGTACTGGCTGTTTGTGTAAATGTGCTAGAGAATTCTATGGTAGACATCTTTCCTTGGCCCTTTCCGAAAGGCATCCACCTTTTGCATGGGTAAGCGAGGTAGTGCTCTTGCTTGGATAGTAGATCACCTAGGTCTAAGACTTCCTTTTTGGGCAGTTGGATCTGGGAAACGGAGTTGTCTTGTTCCTTAGATGCTTGGCCATTGAGACCCTCTCAGAGTTCCATGCAGGTCTGTCAACATGGGCAGTGGAGAGGAGGCACACCATGTCCTCATTTGAGGATAACACAAATGATTAGAGCCTTCTAAAAGATCATTAGCACAAGGAACTTGTTACTGAAATAGACAGATAAACTGTTCTGAACACAGAATTGTGTGATCCTGGGAAGAGAAAGGGGTGAGTCTCTTCAGCAGCTGCTAAGATCACAGGTCCCCAGAAAAGCAGGTTCTGGTTGCACTTGGTACTGGATGCTTGAGAAGCAAGGGAGCTCATTAACTAGCACAATGATTCAGCTGACTTTTCAAAGTTGAGGCATTTGTTTTCCTGGTACGTGGATAGATGTACATGTCTATTTGCTAAACTATATGTACTCCAAAAAATACAAAGACATTAATAGTACCTTTGAATATCTATGTTGCCTAGGCAGATCTGAGAACTGGAAAATGATAGAGATCTCTTCAAAACACTCAGTTTAAATAGAAGGATCTAAATAAAACTATGTTTCCTAGGCTCTAGAGGAAGCAAAGTAGAAAAAAAAGTTGTTACATATCTTAGAAATTAAAATATTTATTATATTCTTTTTTTTTTTTTCCTGAGACAGGGTTTCTCTATGTAGCTCTGTCAGTCCTGGAACTCGCTCTGTAGACCAGGCTGGCCTGGAACTCACAGAGATCTCTTTGCCTCTGCCTCCTGAGTGCTGGGATTAAAGGACTGTGCCACCACAGCCTGGCTTAATTTTTTATTAATATTAATGAGGTCTATGAAGCCAGCAGATAGTAAACACATGTATCTATCTTATCTATCTATCTATCTATTTATTTATTTTTAATTAAAAATTTATTTATGTGTATGGATGTTTTGCCCGAATGTGTATGTGTGGACTTGTGAGTGCAGCTGCCTACAGAATCCAGAAGTGTGTCAGGTCCCCTGGAGCTGGATTTACAGGTGGTTGTAAGTGCCCAGTGTGGATACTGGGAACTGAACCTTTGTTGTTTTTTTTTTTTTTTTTTTTTTTTTTTAAATTTATTTTTATTTATGTGTAGATGTGTGTATCTGTGTGTACTACATGAGTGTGGGTACCCATAGAGGTCAAAGAAAGATCGAACCTTTGTTTTTAAGATTTATTTATTTATTATGTATAAAGTGTTCTGCCTGCATGTATTCCTGCACACCAGAAGAGGGCACCAGATCTCATTCTAGATGGTTATGAGCCACCATGTGGTTGCTGTCCTGGCTCTAGACACACCTGGACAGTGTGTGTACATACAGCAAGAAGTGCGAGTATGGCTGCTGTGGGGTTAAATGAGAATGGCCACCCTAGGCTCACAGGTCTGAGTGCTTGGTCAGGAGGGAGTGACACTATTTCACAGGATCAGGAGGTGTGGCCTAGTTAGAGAAGTGAGTCACTGAGGGTCGGCTTTGAGGTTTCAGAAGCCCATGCCAGGCCCAGAGTCTTTCTTTGCAGATCAGGATGTAGCTCTCAGTTACTGCTCCAGCGCTGTGCACACTGCCCTGCTTCCTGCCATGATGATAATTGACTAAGCCTATGAAACTGGAAGCAAGCCCCAGTTAAATGCTTTCCTTTATGAGAAGAGTTGTCTTGGCCATGGTGTTTCTCACAGCAATAGAACACTGACTAAGACAGCTGTTGACATCTGGCATCTTCCTTCTTCATTTGTTTTCCCAGCCCCCCAATTCTTTCACTTGTCTTGATCTTCATTCAGTCAGCTAGTCTGGCTGACCAGTGATCCCTCCCCGGTGTTTGGTTTATAGAAATGTGTGCCACTGCTGGGAATCCAAGCTCAGACCCTCATGCCTGTGAGGCTGACTACTTACTAGCTGAGCCGTCTCCCGAGCCCTGGCTCCAGGCCTGTGAGAAGTGTGATACTGATCAGACCTGCCTTTTATGCAGCTCTTTGACTTCATAGTGTCTAGTCACGATGCTTTCCTCCAAGTCTTGTCTTCCCAGCTTCTCACCTGGATTCAGTTAGGTTTATTCATTAGCATGACTGCCACACATTTTAACATTGCATAGGGACTCAAGACGCATACAGATCCTGATTCAAAACCAGTACAGATTGTTTGGTTTAGGATATTTTATATAAGATTAATTATGTCAAAGAATTAAGTTGAGCTCTGAGTTTGACGTGTTACATGGAGAACCATTGGAACTTCGTAAAAAGCTTCACTGTAGTGCTTCATGCTTTATGTTCAAAATGGAGTCATCTAGCCAGGACCACACAGTGAGTTCCACACAACCTACAGAGGAGACCCTGTGTCAATCAAAACAAAACACCCTTCTTAACCCACAAACGAGTGACGAAAACAAAGAAACAAAATCTGAAAACAAAGCCGAATATGGTGGTGCATGCCTAATTCCAGCACTTGGGGAACAGAGGCACAAGGATTAGGTGTTCAAGGTTATCCTCAGCTACATAGGCAGCCAGAGCTAGCCTAGCTACATGAGGACCTTTCTCAACTCCTACTGCTCTAATCCCCAAAACTAAACCAGCATCAACATCTTCTCCCCATCCCCTGAAGAGTCACAAGGCTGGGACATTCTATTTTAGTAGTTAAATTTTTATGAAAATGCAGCAATTTATTGTACATGTATTGTATTCAGTTAATTGAGAAGCAATGAAGGTCACCAGGATGGCTCAGTGGATAAAGCACTTGCCATGCAAGCCTGCTGAACTGAGTCTGACTTCTCAAATCCATGGAAAGGTGGAAAGAGCAAACCTACCCCACACATTTGTACCCCGACCTTCTCCACAGGCATGTTGTGGCATGTGTACTCTCCCCCCCACCCCTCCACCCCCGTATGTGTACACACACAGGCTAAAAATAATAAACTTTAAAAAAGAAGAGCAGTGACATGCCATGACCCTTTGAACTGTGACATAGATAATGTAGGAAATGAAAGTTTGTTGAGTTTAATAAATTAGGAATTAGTTATTTTTTTATTTTATAGCATTGTTATAAATATATCTTTAAAAATAGTTAGGCTGTTTTAAAGGTGTTTTAAACGTCTTAAAGATATATACTTGAAGTTTTGTTCACAGCTTTTGAAAAGTCTAGTTCTCAGGATTTCAGATTTCATTGTTTAAAAGTGATTCAGTCAAACTTTCTACTCCCAGCCAGGTACCGTGTGTGCTATTTCCCCCCACCCGCTCAGGGAGTCTGAGGCAGGAGGATTGCTATAGCTCAGAAGGTGAGGAGCAGCCTGGGCAGTACAGTAAAACTTATCTTAAAAAACAAAACCACTGTGCGGTGGTGGCACATGCCTGTAATCCCAGCAGCACTCAGGAGGCAGAGGCAGGCAGGTCTCTGTGAGTTCGAGGCCAGCCTGGTCTACAGAGTGAGATCCAGGGTAGGCTCCAAAGTTATACAGAGAAACCCTGTCTCGAAAAACAAAACAAAACAAAACAAAAAACCCAACAAAACAAACAAACAAAAAACAACAACAACAAAAACCAAAACCAACAACAAAGAACTACATCAAATTCCTAATAAGAAAAACAGAAAAGTCACTAAGAATGGACACGGTGGGTGTATGCCTGTAATCTCAGCACTTGAGATGCTGAGGCAGGAGGGGCATGAGTTTGAGGCTCATGCAGGTTACCTAGTGAGCAGTGGGCTTGTCTGTCTTTGTTGTGAGACTCTTGTCTTATATGAATCTTACTCTTAAGCCCCGATGCAATTTTGACATGCTTTTCCTAACCTTGTCTTTTCCCAGGGGAAGCTGGTCGTTGGACACAATATGCTCTTGGATGTCATGCATACAATTCACCAGTTCTACTGCCCTCTGCCTGCAGTAAGTGGCTCCGGTGTGACACCCCTGCCTTTCAACTATGACTGCGCTCTCTGCCTGGGTTGCAGTTCCTCAGTTCCTCATATGTGGCATGTCCCCAGGAACTACCTTACTCTTCTTTTTTTTAAAGATTTATTTTATTATTTTATGAGTATAAGTGTTTTGCCCTCATGTATGTGTGTCATGTGCATGCATGCCTGGTGCGCAAGGAGGCCCAGAAGAGGGCACTTTTGGACTGGAGTGAGAGAAGATTCTGAGCTGTGAGGTATCCTGGGTCTTCTGAAAGAGCAGCACATGCTGTTAATTGTTGAACCATCTCTCTAGCCTCTCAGATATCATCTTAAAAACATTTTCTAGGGACCTGGGAAGATAGTTCAAAAGTAAGCTGTGGATGCAAGTTTCTAGCCTTGCCTGTGCTGTTTTGATAGGATGTGTATATGAGCTGTTTTAGCGGTTTGATTGCTGTCAGCTATTGCCAGAGCAAAGCTAAATATTTATTTCCTTGATTGATACTGATGGGTTTGCTCATTTACTACTGCGCAGAGGATAGGCCGTAGGCACCTCTGAAATTAAATTTAGGAGAGCTGGAAGGAAATGGGTGCCACATGATTACACCTGCTGAGCACCCTGAGTCTCCCTGTGGACTTGGATGGCATTTCCGTACTTGGAATCAGGTCATTCGAGCCATTATCACACCTCCAGTCTGCCTTTATACCCTGAGACAGCTATGCCGGGTAATCCCTGATCTATGAAAAGAATTAGGTGATGGCCCAAATTTGGGTTGTATGGCCATAGTTTGCCAATCCATGTATATTAGTCAGGGTTCTCTAGAGAAGCAAAACTGATGGGATAAATTTATATATATAAAGGGACTTTATTAGAATGGCTTACAGCCTGTGGTCCAGCTAGTTCGATGTCTGTCTACCAATGGAAAGCCCCAGAACCCACAAGGCTAGATGTCTCAGCTGGTCGTCAGTGGATACTGGAGTCCTGAAGAAGTCAGTTCTCATGCCTATGAGATTGAGAGTAACAGGCAGAGAGAGCAAAGTTCCCTTCTTCCATGTTCTTTATGTAGGTTGCCCCAGAAAGTATGGCTCAGATCAAAGGTGGATCTTTCACCTCAGAAAATCTGGATTAAAGGTATATCTTCTCACCTCAAAAATCCATATTTGCTGGGCGTGGTGGCACATGCCTTTAGCCCCAGCACTTAGGAGGCAGAGGCAGGCAGACCTCTGTGAGTTCCAGGACAGCCAGGGCTGTTACACAGAGAAACCCTGTCTCAAAACAAAACAAAACAAAACAAAACAAACAAACAATCCAGATTAGAAGTGGGTCTCTCCACTTCCAATGACTTACTTAAGGAAAAAAAAATCCCTCACAGGTGTGCCTAGCTATTTGGGTTTTAGTTAATTCCAGATGTAGTCAAGTTGACAACCAAGAATAGCCATCACACCATGCTTTATTTTTATTTACTTAAAAAACTTTATTTTAGGACTGTCAAGGTGTCCCAGTGGTTAAGTGCCCTTGCTTTTTAGCGGACCTGGGTTTGGTTCCTAGTACCCACACTGGGTGGCCCACAGCTGCTTATAACTCTAGTTCCAGGGGATCTGATGCCTTCTGACCTCCAAGGACACCTGCAAAAATGTAGTGCCCCAAAACTCACCCACATACACATAATTAAACATAAATAATTTTTAAAATGTGTGAGTGTTTTCCCTGCATGTGTGTATGTACACAGTTTGCTTGCCTGATGTCACAGAGGCCAGAGAAGTTTGTCAGATCCCCTGAAACTGGAGTTACAGATACTTGTGAGCCACCATGTGGGTGCTGAGAGTTGACCCTGTCCTCTGGAAAAGCAGCAAGTATTCTTAAACAGGAGCCATCTCCCCAGCCCCTACTTACGTAGCCCAGATTGGTTGTGAACTCTTAGACCCAAGTGCTAGGATTACAATCTGCTCCCTGCCCCTCGTCTTCTGGCCAGCCCCTGCTTTAAACTGCTGGAGGTTGGACTCCTGTTTTTATTGCTTCTTGAAAGTTTTGGCTCTTGGATAAGAATTTGGCCTCTTTTACACATCGGCAACCTCTCTCTATGTTTCCTACGTCTCGTTGCCCCATCAGAGGCAACGAGGAGGAGAGCAGTGCACTCGACCACTTGCATAGTGGGTCTGCTGGTCCCTTGCTCTAGGGCTTTGCTCTTAAGGTTGCCACCACTTCCATGACAGACCCATCATCCTCCAGGATGCAAGGGTTCCAGCAAAAGTGATGACCAGACATTTGCATTTTCTATCTAAAGAGCTCATGATTGTTTTCAGTCATTCATTTCTCACTGGCCAGGGAGACCAATGGAGCAGCTCCTTTCCTGACCATAAAGCGATGAAGTTACCAAAAGGACCAGGGGAGCATATTTAATGTTGTGCATCTGGGTGTTATAAATACCGAACAGAGGAAGGCATTAAATATTGAATTAACAAATGAGTGTCTATGACTGATGTGTGGCTCTCTTCACATTACAGACCCTGCCTAAAATTTCCAAGTAATCTCACATTCCTTGTTTCTGCATATAGTTGCCTCTGCATATAGTGAGCTCAGCCTGTCAGGTCATATCTGATTGCCTGTGTAAGTCAGCCTTTGTCAGGCTCTGTGTCCCCAGCCAGTTGACACGTTTCCTAAACACTATGTGTTCTGGCAGGCCTGTGGTTTGGGTGCATGATTACTTCTGCCTCCTTACTGTGGCTCTGCTGCATGTTTGCAGTCCACACCTTCACTTACCTTGTCCTGCCACGCAGGTCTTCTCTGCATACTGCCTTGCTAGTTCCGGCTGTTCTGTGGCCAACCCCTCCAGGCTTTGGTGCCTCCAGGGTGCCTACATTTTGCTGTAGGTTACATGGTGCAACCAATTCTAGATGATTAGACACACACACACACACACACACACACACAGAGAGAGAGAGAGAGAGAGAGAGAGAGAGAGAGAGAGAGAGAGAGAGAATTGTTCTTTTATTTAGGTATGGAAAAGATGATAGTAATAGGAGACAATTTATCAAAGGCGATACAACATTTACATTTTCTGGCACCATACTTAAGTTAAGAACATCTTGTTTTATTTTTTGTGTATGGGCGTTGTCATAGTTAGGGTTTCGTTGCTTTGACAAAACACCATGACCAAAAAGCGACTTGGTGAGGAATGGGTTTATGCAGCTTATACTTCCATATCGCTGCTCATCATCAAAGGAAGTCAGGACAGAAACACAGCAAGAACTTGGAGGCAGGAGCTGATGCAGAAGCCATGGAGGAGTGCTGCTTACTGGCTTGCTCCCCATGGCTTGCTCAGCCAGCTTTCTTTTAGAACCCACCATGGGCTGGGCCCTCCCCCATCAATTACTAATTAACAAAATGTCTTGCAGTGAGAGCTTATGGAGGCATCTTCTCAATTGAGGTTTCCTCCTTTCAGATAACTCTAGCTTGTGTCAAGTTGATGTAAGACTAGCCAGCACAGGTGTTTTGCCTCTGTTCTATTGCTGTGAAGAGACACTATGACCAAGGCAACACTTAGACAAGAAAGCATATAATTAGGGGCTTGCTTAACAGTTTCAGAGGGTGAGTTCATGATCATCATGGTGAGAAACAAACAGGCATGGCACTGTAGTAGTAGCTGAGAACTTTACATCCAGTCTACAGGCAGCAGGCAGTGGGGTGGGACTGGAGTGGGCTTTTGAAACCTCAGACCCCAGTGACACCTCCTCCAAGTCCACACCTTCTATTCCTTCCCAAATAGTTCCACTAACTGTGGACCAAATGTTCAAATATATGAGCCTTAGAGGGTCATTCTTATTCACATACTACAGCCTGCATGTATGTATGTCTGTGTACCCCTTGAATGCCTGGTACCCACGGAAGCCAGAGGAGGGTATTGGATCCCCTGGGACTGGAGTTACAGACAGTTCTGAGCTTCCATGTGGGTTCTGGGAATTGAACCCCTGTAGCTAGTGTTCTTAACTGAGCCACCTCTCCATTTCCTGGCCTCCTATTTTTAAAATGTAAATGTAAAACTAGTCACCGTAGCTCATCTGTAATCCAGAATTCCTACGACAAGATAGGAGGTAGAGACAGGTGAATCCCCAGAAGCTCTGGTGAGACAGCCTGGCATGTAGTGAACAGGAGGCCCTGGCACAGACATGTTAGAGGGAGAAGGCTGACATCAGATTGTCTTTGACTTCTGCACATGCACCGAGGCAGGCTTGTGCTCACACTGTATATACACATATTATATATATGCACATGCCAAGATAAAAATAAAAAGAAAGAATGCATGTCTTGGTATTTAGGGGTGAGTTTTTTATGGGGCCCTTTGCTGCTTGAACATGACCTTGAAGGTGTTGGCCCAGAACTCTGTGTTCGCTCTGGATGTGGTCATAATTCTGCTTTGCTCTTGCTTATAAAACTTTTTAGCGGTGTTGAAAGGTTAACAATGGTCATTAGGAGGGTTGGAGAGAAGGCTCAGTGGTTAAGAGCACTGGCTGCTTTTTCAGAGGACCCAGGTTCAATTCTCTGCACCCATATGGCAGTTCACAACTGTCTGTAACTCCATTTCTAAGGGATCTGACACTCCCACACAAATGCACATAAAATAAAGTTAAATAAATTATTAAAAAATGGTCATTAGGGCATTTTTTGTTTGACTTCGCCTTAGAACCACTTTTTCGTATTTTGTCCATTGATTAAATGACAGCCATTGAGAAACTGGTGTAGTTAAATACAGTCTGTGGTTATAGGCTTGAAAAGCTAATTGGAAATGGCAACTTACTGAGAAGCATGAATGACTTTGAAAAGAAATGTGGTTTACAAAAGGTCAGGAGTGTTACTACCCAGCCTGGCATGGCAATTATGTATGTAAATAAGCTAATTCAAAGCTAAAGTACTCTAATTTTTGCTCTAGAATTCCTGATCAAAGTAAACCTTTGAAATGAACAGTTTAATTTAGGCACTTAGTGTTAGTGCCACATTAACAATTTTGTGAGTACTTAGAGCAGGAACAATATCTATGTTGTGAGGTCTGTGTTTTTATGGCCATTTTAACTAACAACCGGAGATGGCCTCAGAGATAGAAGCTGCTTTACAGTGTAACCATTCCCATATCAGTCACTGTAGTGACACCAGCTAGTGTCACTGGTAGAATTAAGTCTGTACCCCGGGGTACGACAGTCTCGCAAGTCAGCAGTACTTTACATGTGACGGAACCACTCTTTCTTTAGTTCAGCTACGGAATCTTTTGGTTATAAAATTACTTATCCAAGCCACAGAATTCCTAGTGAGAAATAGGAAATATTCCTAAATTCATTATTTATTCATTTTTTATCACATTAAAATTTTAATTTTTTTTATTCTTTTATGTATATAGTGTGTTGCTGAGGTGTGCCTGTGGAAGTCAGACATAACTGTGGGAGTCCGTTCCCTCTTTCCACCATATGGGTCTCTGATCAAATTCAGGTTGTCAGGCTTGGCATCTGGTACCTTTAACCTGCCAAGACATCTTCCTGTCCTTATTTTTCTTCATTAAAAAAAAATGTGTGTGTGTATCTGTGCACTTGTGCATGTGGCAGTCAGAGGACAGCTTACAAAAGTCAGCCTTCTGACATGTGAGCCCTGGGTTGGACTCAGATTGACAGTTTTAGCAGCAGGTGCCAAGACTGATTGGCTCAGATTTTATTTTAAAAGTAATTCATTTGCTCTAAGGCTTATTTATTTTTATGTGATGAATGTCTTGCCTGCATATATGTATGTATGTGTACATGTGTGCCTAGTGCCTGAGGAGTTCAGAATAGGGCATTAGATCTCCTGGACTAGAGTTATGGGTGGTTATAAGCCACCATGTGGGGTCTGGGAATCTAACCTGGGTCCTCTGCAAGAGCAACAAGTGCCCTTTACCTCAGAGTCATCTCTCCTGCTCCTAAGAAATAATTCTTAATTAGAAGTGGATTTTGCTCTTTAGCTTGAGGCCCAAGTGAGGCATGACAGTTCATGTTTGAGAAGACAGCTGAGACCTGGAGCTGCCCATGTGTGTTTTTAACAACACTCTGGTCTTCCTGAAAGACAGTAACAGGCTGTCCTTTTGCTTTTTAGGATCTGAACGAGTTTAAGGAGATGACAACATGTGTCTTCCCCAGGTAAGCCTTCTTCAAGAGCTCCCTGACATTGAGATACTCACTGAGGTATATGCAACACAAGTAGGCAGTCCCTACAAGCTGGGAAGGGATTTAATGGAATAGTGTGATCATCCTTTAAAGATCAGATTCTAACTTAGAGTGAAGGTAGAAAGTAGCTGTACCTCCCTTTTTCCTGTCCTGCATCCTGCCATCTGAAGGACTGGTGAAGGGCCCTGGCACAGGTCTGGCCATTCACACATGTGGAACGTAGCTATTTAATTACTGATATGTCCCAGCTGAAACTGCTCTCTCCTCGGTTAAGAACTGTATGGCTGAGACGACACACCCATTCCCTGTGAGTTGGTCAGTGACCATGTCGTTAGTGGTGTCCACCGTCAGTGGTGCAGTGCATGTTAGTTTGGCTGTGTCACGTGTCATGTGTGTGATCAACTGCATGTCCAATGCGTGAGCCTATACAGTAAGACACTTTTAGGTCTTTTGAAGAAGGGCAAGTGAGGGTAGCCAACTAGTCATACTTTCATCTGGGCTCTTGCTGTCCTAGCCACAGTGTTTACATTTATGTGGAACTAGATTTAGACAGAATTCTTCCGTGCTCCCTCTCTTCCTTAGTATTTCTGGTCCTGTAATAGAGTAGTTATGTGTTCTACTTCTTCTCACAGCTCATGGGAGGAAAAGTTTAGTGTAGCTCACAGTTTGAGGATATAGTCTGTCCTGATTCCTCACCTACAGCAAGGAAGACCCCGGCACTTACCTGGCTTTCTCTCCTACTTTACTCAGTGTGTATGTCTGTGTGCTTCCTGCTTTCTGGGGGCGGAGGTGTCTTCTTTCCTCAGTTAAACTCTGGACACTTCCTCATAGGCTCTTAGGTGATTCCAAATCCAGTCAGTTTGACAGTGGAGCTTAGCTGGCACAGTAAGAAATAGCAGGAAACTTCCTGATGCAGACTTTGGCTCCATAAGAATTCAGATTGTGTAAACTAGGTGGTAGCAGTGGGTTGTGGCCATTGGGAGGGGCTGACTCTGTAGAATGGGAAAACATGCAGCGTTTGCCTCACCTTCGAGATGAATGCCAACCTCATTCTTCTCAGTACAGGCATGGCGCCTGTTCCTTTGGCAAGTATATGGAATCCCTACAGCAGTCTGATGAGTGAGGCCAGCATGCGGGACTCTGTCCTTAGCTCATTAACCACATTGCCACTAGGTTCACACTGGCGAGTGTGTGTGCTTCATCTGCCCACTTCTCAGTGTTTTATGAATTAAGTGTTTTTTAAGTATATCATATATGAAGTATATGTTACCTATATATTTTATTTATGAGACATTTTAAGTATTTTATATTTTAACAAAGTACATTTTAAATATTGATATATTTTATTTACCTTACTAAAATTTATTTTGCTTCTAGACTTTTGGATACTAAGTTGATGGCCAGCACACAGCCTTTTAAGGTATTTTTTAAATCTGAACTATCATTCTTAAGATATAATTTGAAATTTTTGTTTGTTTGAGACAGAGTCTTGGTATGCCCAGGCTGGCCTTGAACTCACCCTATACCTGAAAGTAGTAACCTTGAATTCCTGATCCTCCTGCCTCTGCCTCCCATATGCTGGGGTGCAAGCATGTGCCACCATGCTCTATTTGAAACTTTTTTGCATTACCACTAATAACTTGGGAATTCTGGTCTATTTAAATGTTATTTCAAACATATTAAAAAATAAGAAAGGAGCCGGGCGGTGGTGGCGCACGCCTTTAAT